TTAATATTATTTTAATAATATTATTAAATAATAATAAATTATTTTATAAAATTTCAAAGAATATTAATTATATTCTGTAAGTTATTCATCTTCAGCACTTACTTTATCTTCCTTTTTTAAGCATTCTAACCCTTCTTGACATGGGCATCTTAGTGCGTACATTTCTTTATAAACAGGTACTTTCACAGGCTTCGGCATACACACTTTGTCTGTAAGATAAAAATTTTCAATAATTTATGACAAACGTTTTAAAACAGTCTTTTATAAACAAGTTAATGAAAGATGTGATCAATTAGATGAATTGTTTTGTAAGGGTTTGTCAAAATTTTATAATGTACCTTTTTCTACTCTTTTTTGACATAATTTTACAAAACTACTCATTCTCACACAACATTCATCATCTTCGCAATTTGCTTGTCCTAAACAGGGTTTCAGTGCATTTACCTAAAATAGTAAATATAAATATATAAACGAAACTATATCTTACAATCTACGAACAGAATTCAAGATACCTGAACGACCACAAAGGCAGTTAGACCCAATAAAAGAAAAACACACTTCATAGTTAAATGCTATAGAAAGATTTTTTCCGAAAGCAAACAAAGGAAGTATCTACTCCACTTTTTATATGTTCTTATCAAGTGATGCTAGGTTAAATTCCTTGAGAACAAATCATGTGTTTGAAGATAATTTTATCTATCCACTTTAAAACATTTTATTTATTTTAAATGAATTGATATTTGAAGTTTTATAATGAATTTTTAAAATGAAAATTAATCTTCTAAATAATTTTTAAAGCGATGAAATTATCCAGACAATACGATAGAGAGCTTTTTGTGTTTTGAGAATTTTGAAAAATAACCATAAAATAAATGGCCTTGTACAGTACGTGAATATTGCATTTTTTACATTGCTATTAATTATTAAAAGAAAACCTTAAAACAGTCGAATTATTCTCATCTCATTAGCGTAAAGTTCTTAGAGGATTATCGTCCACTGCCAGTTAATCGAAGTGGTAAATGCTTCAAGCTGTTGCTATGGGAGACAAAGTTCGAATGCGAATCCTCTACTTTGATAGGCAGAAGCACCATTTTATAATATCTATTTTGTGACCATCGTAAAGTGTATGGACAACAACAATGGATATTTTTAAATACAGTATTGTAAAATGTACTTTTCCATATTATATATTTTGTTACTTTTCCAGTTGTTATAATACAAAGGGAAAGTATGGCCATCTGTGAGAAATGATCCCCAAAAGATTTTTTTTTTTTTTTGAAAATTTAAAGTATATAAATTATACAGAAGATTTCAACAGTTTGCAAGAATTTAAAGTAAATGTGTATTCACATTTTTTTTAAGCTTTTGTATTTACGGTAAGAATCCGCTTAACGAGGGGGATGCGTTCCTAGACAACAAAGCGCTAAGCGAAACAGCGTTAAACGAGCTCATTTTAACATAGAGTAAATAGGGATAGGTGAACACCCGTCCAAAAATAACAAAGTTTACTTTAATTTTTTAGTTATTTTTATATTAATTCGTATAATAATATATGTTAAATAACACATAAACAATGCACACAGAAATGTAAAGTTCATTTTTTGTAATGAAGGTCCTGACTTTTCTGAAATTCTTGTTCTTTTGCAATAAAGTCGTAAAGTTTCATTTGTCGCTTTTTTCTTTTCTTAAGCAAATGTCGGTAGCAAAAGATCGCATCCAAAACGCCTCTTTTTACTTTTGCACTTCTTTCAAAATCTGGATCACTCGCTACAATTTGATCAACGATTTCGGTTATCTTACCAAACTTTTACTAAGGAAATCTGTAGAAAAATTTTTTGGGTTCTTCGTTTTCAGAATCTCTGTTTTCCAGTTCCACATGAATTCCATATTCTGCCAGTTTTTGAATGTCTTCGTTGGTAAAGCTCTCACCAGAAACCTGCTGTAACTCCTCAATCCTCAATATCCTGCTCGTCTACATTTCCTGTATCGATTAAGTTGACAATTTGGTCAACCTAACGATACAGCGATAGGCTCTTTTGGTTGAGAATTTTTGGATACCTTCAGCCATAACTTCTTCCACACTCAGTTCGTGCATTTATCAGTTAATTCTTGCCAAGCGAAGTCAATATTTCCTATGGCATCCATGATGTTACATTTTTTTCAAAATTGCACCAAACAAACATAGATTTAAAGAAAGTACACCTTTTTGCCATCTTTTGTTGATTGGTTTGTGTTCGCAAATTCGTATTATAATCGTATTATATACGAATCAATGAAATGGCGCGATAATGTGTTTGCGATATCGGCATAAATTTTGAAATTTTGTACTTTTTTAGACTTCGAGCAGACCGCATTATATCGAATCAGCGTTAAGCGAGGCAGCCTTAAGCGGGGTCTTACTATATATTGTTTTATAGTTTCTTTGATTGGTCTGAAAAAAGTTTATTTGATTATGGAGGCAGCTCCATCTGTTTTGCATAATTATTTTGGTACAGTAGAACAGACTCGTATTAAAGATAACAAAGTTTTGATCATGCCCAATTATTACTATTGTATTCATTGAATATTTGGGAACGGTAAAAAAATCATCATGCAGTCAGTTTTGGTGAATCTGATTTTCAGAAATTTTTACGGGTGGTTTGAGTCATCCCTCTATCTAACCATCATTGTAAGCCTTACCCGTGTAGAATGAATGAAAATCCTTTAGCTTCCCATGAAGAAATGTTTTGTTAATACCCTACGATAAATAAAGGCCCTCTTAATACCTGTAAGGTAGGGTTTAAAAAATGAGTTGTATTTTAAAATTTAATCATTTTTTTGTTTACAGAAATTCAAGTTATAATATTTTTAAACACTAATTGCCAGAAAAATCCTCAATGAAAAAGAAAACTATGATATATGATTACTTTCTTTATAAGTATGATATGAGATTTAAAACCGATTCGTAGTATTTCATGTAAAAACACAATTAAAAATAAAACTGAAATATAAAAAGAAGGCCAGTAAATAAATTTTTGTCCTTCAAATTGCAAACGATAAAGAACTTATCTAAAAGCACACGATTGAATTCTCACGGAATCAATTTGATAAATTTATTCAAAGTAACATTATAAAACGTAAATAATGTTTTATTTCCCGGATTTAAGAATTACTTTAAATCGTGATGTTTATTTCGTAACATCGATACGAAAACTTTTTTGAAAACAAGACAAAATGAAAGATTAACACGAAGATAATTTAAAATTACCATAAAATGATGTAAAGTTGTGACTATGCTTGAATAATATTTATGGTCTCGGTATAAAAGTAGCCATTCTACGTCGTTAAATATTAATTTTAGATTATTTTAATGAAAATTCATGCTGAAACGAAGTACTCCTATTCTACAGAGATACTTAGAAATCACATTTGATAACGATGGCATTTCAGGATGGCATTCGTAAAAAAAATGAATACCAAAGCTCGCTACGGTGACAATTTTGACGCTGAAAATGACAAAAAAAAAAAGCCGTTTCCTTTGCATAAACACACGTGTTGCTGCCAAGTTCTGGGTATATTAGTGGCCACAACTGTTGAATGTCATTCTTATCTACTCGATAGTCATTACCTTACCGGAACGGCATTTCTAGTGAAGCTGTTTTGTGAAAACGACGGCAATGCTGTGACTGCACTTCGGGAATTTCTCCATCGTAAGAATTTATGTTGAGTATCATTGACTCCGCAAACTCTCGGGAGAATGATCATCGATACGAGGAAACTTCCCGTCTGGGAATTCAATCCGGTAGAGAATGCAAACCTATCACTTCACGAGTCGTTGAAGACGTTACCACAGTTGCTGTTGAAGGCAGATACAGTTAGTTGTAGCCTAAAATACAGAGTGAAGATACTGAGAAAATTGATGCATTGTCTTTTGTTGTTCTATAAGATCATCCACAACGAGCAGTTGCTTGTCGCCCACAAGGAAACCCGACGGATTTTTGTATTGACCTTCCTTGCCAGAAAATCGATGTGGCCATGGAAGATATTGTGAGCAACGATGCACACATTTTCACCTCAGTATAACAGTGAACACCCATAGCTAACACGTTTGCAGAGGATTCTACTGAAAAACTCATGTTTTTCAGTAGAATCCTCTGCACTCGCATAAAATTAGTCTGGTATGGATTCAATGTCACATTTATCCTTGGACCGTTCTTTTTCGAATAACCTAATTGGCCTGTGACCACCCAGATATAGAGAGATGCTTAATACTTGTACCTCAGTTGCGACAATGAATATGCCTTGAGTCAACCAAGATGGATCGCCTCCGCATATCGAACATTGCGTACGGCAGCCTCTTACTGTTTGGCAAAAAACTCCGGATGTCAATCCGTGTGATTTTTGGTTGTGGGTATACTTAAAATGTATGGTTTATCAAGGGCACGTTGCAAATTAGACAGCCTCGTAACTTAAAAGACAGTATCATACTGCGTGTGAGAAACACCACAGAGAATCAATTACGGTCGGCAATCGAACACACTTCATCCACTTCAGGTTTCATACGTTCAGAATGGGGACCACACTAATCAGTATCTACTGCATCACAAAGTCTGTAGGCCTATACAGTTTGAGTGTCTTGTACACACGAAATGTTTGCTTGAAGAGCCATAGTGGTAAACTTTGGTATAAATTTTTTTTGGGTGCCTTTCTTACAGTACGAAAAACAAAAATTAATTGCGAAATTTTGATCACTTATGAGGTTTTTTTTAACAGAAAATTACTCTTTTATATTAACTCGAAATCCAAGATAACGTACAACAACATAAATTTCTTAAAATTCTCTTTGTTTATACATTGTAATACATTCAATGGATGATTGAATTAATTGAACTGATGGAAGGAGGCAACGCAACACTTGAGTGTTATGCCAAGGGGGTGCCTCTCAGGAGAACTTTCTANATTTTATTTCATCAGTGCTGCGGCAGAGAATGAAATACAAGCTTAAGAAACACAACAACTGTTATAAAAATATATAAATAAAACTTAACAGAATATGTAAAAGTTCACGTCACATCTTTCACCATGTGACGGCACACCGGTTGCTGAACACTGGTATAATACAATGGCATTTCCAGTAAGCTAATTTAATAATAAAAATAATATATACCTCATAATGTTTAACATCATAAATTTATTTGACTATTCCTCTGAACCGAAACTAATAATTTATTAATTTAAATGTAATAATTTTAGTTTTTAAACTCATAAATTAAGTTTCAGAAATATTATTGTAGTCAAATTGAGTAAACTGATTACCAGAAGAGACCAAATGAATAAATTAAATACTGTACCAAGAACCTCTTTAGACGAGTAAACTGTATAAAATTATTTACAAATGTATAAATATAATGTATATCAATTATTTGATATTCTATGCAGAGAAGTTGGCAAATTCGTGATAATTTTGGCTGAAATATTGTTGATTTATTTTGCAACTAATAACCAAATCTTTCAGTTTTGTACATTAAAAATTGTGGAATCATTTGCAAGAATACTAAATAATTATTTATTCATTACAAATTAAACATTTAGTACATATTTTAATAGTTTTACATATATTTAAATTAAAGTGTAGAATTCT